TGAATCCTAACACCTAGTGCACGCTTATTTATAGTGGGACGATGTCTGAAACAAAGTCTTCGAGAGGTAGGAAAATCGTCCTTCGAGGACTTCGAACTTTGTTCTTTTCCAGAGTGAACCCTAACACCTAGTGCACCCTTATTTTTAGTGGGGACGATGTCTGAAACAGAGTCCTCGAGAGGTAGGAAAATCGTCCTCCGAGGACTTCGAACTTTGTTTTTTTTTCAGAGTGAACCCTAGCCCTTGGTGCAGCCCTATTTGTAGCGGAAACGATGTCTGAAACAGAGTCCTCGAGAGGTAGGACAATCGTCTTTCGAGGACTTCGAACTTCGTTTTTTTTCAGAATGGACCCTAGCACGTTGTGAACCCTAGATATAGTGGAGACCATGTCTCAAAACGAGTCATCGAGAGGTAAGAAAATCGTCCTCGTGAGACCTCGCACTTTGTTTTGTTTGAACTTACCATAACTGGTTTCTCCGTGGAAAGTTTTCTACGGTGTGGTGCGCCTCTATTTATAGTGGGACGATGTCTCAAAAAGTGTGATGTAGAGATAGGAAACGCGGCCTCGTGAGACGTCGAACTTTGTTGTTTTGAACTCACCGCTAACGGGTTTCTCTCTGGAATGAAGTCTAGCACGGGGTACAGTCCTATTTACGGGAGTGTCCATGTCTCAGAATGACCGACTGTGATGTATGGAAATTGTCTCGTGAGAGTTCGCACTTGGTTTGTTTTTCATCTTATGTGTGAGTCGGTCGTCACAAGAATAAGCTCCGTAACCTCGTACAGTGCTACTGAAATGAGAGATTATGCCTGAGAAAGGGTTATTGAGGCGTATTTTAAGCGTCTTTTTGGGACCTCGAAATTGTTTTCGTTTTCGCTTAACTGTACCTCGTCAGCGACCGGGACGAACTCTAGGATGTCGTGTAAGGGTGCTCGTAGTCGAGGCCGCTTGTCAACAACAAAGGCAATTGGAGTTGGTGGTAGATTTCCAAGTGCGCTGAGTTTTATCTGTTTACCGGCGAGAAGGGAAGCATCCTACATGACTTGTTCCTTATTCAAAAACTGAGTGGAGACGTTTAACTTTTCAGCCGATAACTGGCATATCGATACGCGATATAATTTATAATGATCGAAACCTTAGTGCCTCATACTGTGCTATGGCACATATTTTGATGGCGCAAACACCCTGGTGTTCTTTTTGTGTTAGATCCTTTCTAGCATCGGTAGTCTTATCTCTTTGTTGTTTGATATTCTTCAGGACGTATGGGCACGCTATATGACAGCCCTTGAGGATCCATGGGTGCCTTCATATAATAGTCCTTAAGAGCCTATGGATACCTGTGTAGGGTAGGACATCAAGACGTCTGGGAGCCTTCATATAATAGCCCTTAAGGACCTGTAGGTATTTCGATAGGATAGCCCATGGGGATCTTTGGGAACCTCCGTATAATAGTTCTAGAGCACCTGTAGGCGCCGGCAGATAATGGCCCTTGTGGACCTATGGGTACCTCCATATAATAGTCCTAGAGGACCTATGGATACCTTCATATAGTAGCCCTTCAGGACCGATGGGTACTTCTATAATATAATAGTCTTTGAGGGCCTATGGGTACCTCGATAGAATAGCCCTTGAGGACCTATGGGTACTTCCATATAATAGCCCTTGAGAACCTATCGGTACTTCTACAGAATAGCCCTTGAGGACCTATCGGTAATTCTATAGAATAGCCCTTGAGGACCTATGGGTACTTCCATATAATAGCCCTTGAGAATCTATGGTTACTTCTATAGAATAGCCCTTGAGGACCTGTGGATATTTCCATATAATAGCCCTTGAGGCCCTATGGGTACTTCTATAGAATAGCCCTTGAGGACTTATGGGTACCTGCATAGGATAGCTCATGAGTACTTATGGGTACGTCCATAGGATAACCCATGAGTAGGATGTGGGGGTGGGTGTGAGTCTTGCTGAAAAGTTGAATCCATTCAATTGGAACTAGCGGGATCCGAGTCCTATCTTGTTGTATCCTGTGATCGGATCCGAACTCCATAGCGAAAATGCAAACGGCTGGATCTGGGCTTCGTAACCATACCGGAAACGATAGTTTATGGCTCGTATCCTGTCGCCGTCATAAGTCGCTGGAACCAGGCGCGGGAACCACACCGAAAACGACAGTTTATGGCTCGTATCCTTGTCACCGGCATAAGTCGCTGGAACCAGGCGCGGGAACCATACCGGAAATGACAGTTTATGGCTCGTATCTTGTCGCCGTCATAAGTCGCTGGAACCAGGCGCGGGAACCATACCGGAAACAGGGATCTGTATCCGGCCATCTTTTTCGGACTCCGGAACTGACGGGAATTAAGTAGGAAACGAAAGCCGGAACCGATTTGGGAATACTGCCACCCTGAAATAGCCGGAATTTCACCGGATCAGGCGGTTTCCCGCCGTACATCTTGGACCTGGGTTGGAAAAACATATCAACTCCAACTCCGCTCCAGACCAATTCAACTCCACTCCAACTCTACCCACTAATTGTGAAATTCCACTCCAACTCCACTCCAACTCTAATGCAAAAAACTGTCAACTCCGGAGTCAACTCCAACTCCGAGTTGGAGTTGCCCAACACTGGTATAGATGTTCATAATACAAGTAAAAAATTAATATGAAGATACAAAGTGTTGATATATTTTCTGAGTCTTTTTAATCCATGCTTGAATAACATTTAATGATAAACCATCTAAAGCTTCATTGATCGCATTCTCTAGTTCACGTTATGATTTTGGATTTTTGGTTTTAAATTTTTGTTTGATAATGTTCCAGACCAGTTCTATAGCATTAAAGTCAGGACTGTAACCTGGCCATTCACATAATTCAATATTATATTTGTCACACCATCGTTTGAATTGAGCACTTTTGTGCCATTTTATTCCATCAGAAATAAATAAAAATCCATTTAATTTTCGCAAATTTCCCGATAATGCTTCATTAACTGTATCACAATATGTGTCGCTATTTAACCAATTATCAAATCGGCGAAAGACATAACCATTCCACCAAATAAAACCAATTAAATTTACATGTGCTCGCAAAGATGATATTTCTTTCTTCGATGTTGATTCTTCTCGTTTACACCAAACAATCTGTTGTGTACTTCTTAATCCCACATAGCACTCATCTTCAAAAATATATTTCCTGATGTTGGCCAAGTGATGTAATGCAGCAAATTGATATCGATTTTGTTCATTTGTATTATTAGTCTTAACTTTAATAACAGACTTACGAGGACGATAACCAAGGGATAAACGATAACGTTGTACCGTGCGTTCGGTAGTATTGAAGTTCGTGAGTGATAATAATTCAGCAGCAGTAGCTGATCGGTTTTGTTGTATAGTTTGATCAAGTTGTTTAATTTGTGTTGAATCGAGTGCAGGTGGACGACCAGCATTATATCTATCTGTATAATTTACATCATTATGACGACGATAATAATCAATGACATCGTATATTATAGCATGGCGACACTTGAAGGAACGTACTATGTTTGAGATATTTATAGAACCTTTTTTCCGCTCACAGATGATATACCAGCGTTGTTCTTCAGTTAGTTTATACATTTTCGATGAAATCATCGAGCAAAAAAATAGGGAGCAAACGCAAAATATACAAAAGTAAATATACAACAAACCGACCATTAACTAGATTTTTATTTCTGTTATAAATATCTATACTTGTACTATTCATGAATATCAAAGAAAATTTCTTCTAACTACAAACTCTATATTTTAGAGCAAAAACCAAGTGTACGGTTAATTTTGTCGTTGGTAGTACACTGATTTGTGCGTTGATGTCATTCTTCATTCTTTAAACCTGAAAATACAGCTATAAATCCGATGAAGGAACCAACACGTCGTGCTTTTGAGAGACAACTTAAAAGTGCGTAGAAGTACTAAGGTACGGGTGCTGGTATGTTGGATTGGTGTTGGTTTCATCATCACCTGTCTGACACCCACAACATACACTCTCCAGCACTCATACTCCGGTCTTATTGAAGTTCATCTGCATAATTGTGTTCTAAAATAAGCGTTTTTTTTTAGGTATTGAAATTTTAAAAAATTATAAATCCTATGAAATCCTTACTCCAAATGTTTATTGAGACATAGAAGGAGCTTTATCGTCTGTTTCGTTTAATGCTTTAAATGATAGATAAGTAAAACATTATACGCTTGTTCAAATCTGATCTTCTACTTCATAATATATTTAATGTCAGACTCGTTCGGACTAGTCAAATACATCCCATTGGAGCGTGTCGTATGAACCGTATCCAACACGCTTCTTTTTGGCAGTTTCAAATCATTTTCTGATGAGAGTCATGGCGTCTCGAAGTGTTTAGTCAGAGTCTCAAAAAGTCCTCGTCCAGCACTAGTCTTCATTCTAGATGATAATTTAATATCTAACTGATGTTGAATCTGTCCTTGAAGAATCTCTCTCCAGAAAAAGACTGTAGCTGATATTTAAACTGTCGTCTGTCGATGATAGAATAAAGATGAGATTCCAGGACATAGCAAGTTTCAGATTAGTCCAGGAGGAGGCCTTTTTCAGACTCTAACTAGACACGTCAATCCAACATGACCAGCAATAATATTCGATATTTAGTCCATCGCTAGCTTACTTCGGTGGTAATGAATCTCTTAAGGTTACCTAGTAAAGTAACCGCTTGGTAATGCTAACTATCTAACGCTTATTTTTCGTTTTATGTGTAATTTAGCGAGCGATCATGAGACAATACTATTTGGTACTAATGAATTTAGATTCTTCCTACTATATGTGTGAATGCATCTCACCTATTGAAAAGATCTAATCAAAAGACAAAAATTCTTAACTAGCAGAACGTCAAGTACGTTGATTTCATTATGAAGTATAAGTTACGATTCATTCTGCTGGATCACTACAGCGCTCAACAAAAGAGGATGCCTTCCTTCAACAAACATAAAATAGATAATAGTGGGTTGATGTTTTAGGAATATGTGAGTCAGGGCTAAACCTAATTGCCAGCATTAGTCTGGTCTCGATTAGTTGTTCCTAATGCAGTTATACAGCGAAAATCTTGTTCATCCTGTAGTTTCTATGTCAGACTCAGGATGACATTGGATGGAATTAATTTTTTGTCTAATGAGTTAACAAAATCTGCTCTACCCTATCCCGTGGGCTGCGTGAAATCGTGACAAAATTATATGGAGCTTCAAAGAATCTTATCAGAATGAGAGTTCTTAAATTAGCGTGTCATTCGATGTGTTCAACGAAAATTTGAAATAGAGTATACTAGTAAACTATGCTTTTCAGAACACCATGTATCCATATAATTACTCTTTTCGTGTAGATCAAGTAACTTCACAATAAAAACATATTCATTAAAATTTTGAAATCTATACAAAAAGCATAACAAATGGTATTTTTGATGATGAAGTGACATAAAATTGATGCTTTTTCAAATTCATTGATTAAAATAGACATATTGATTAAAAAATGCAGTGAATTTGTTTAAAAATTAAATTCAATGTATGATTTTCAATTAGAATACTGGTATTCATCAACAAGAAATGAAGGGCGTGGGCGTGGGTATTGCAATTAATACCCACACCTCCAGTAGAGGAAATCAAACAATCACGAGTATTAATTGCTGAGATGAGAAAACTGCAGCTTGGAGAACTACTTTTACAGTGAAAGAAATCGAACAACAGCAAGCACTTGCTCTTGGGAGAAGTATGACTAAACGAGCTACTATATCACCAAAAGAAACTGAAAAAGTGCGTCTACTAGATCGCAGGAGAAGTACTGAAATACGCGCTGCTTATGCACCGGAAGAAAGTCGAGCAACAGCAAGCAGTGGCTCGTAAGAGAAAACGCCTTCAGAAAAATGTGTAAGCACAAACGATTACTGATAGAAACAAAAATCCTAAAAGTAGCGACACTGAATAACCAAAACCTATTCAAATGGAATGCACGATTAACTGCTCAAAAAACTCCAGTCGACATATGTCGATGAGTTCTCTAGCAGAGAATGTTTGTGGCATTTGTAATGTTTGTTGCTAGAAGAGTAACCTCTGACACATACTCTTGTGCAAAATTCCGTCGATTGAATAGCTTAGAGTACATAATGATCTTTATGACATAATTTCTATTATGCAACGAATGAGCAAGTTCCATTCAAAAGATAAGTTTAACAATAATGACGACCTTGATTTAGCTTTCGATCGAGACGAAAGAGAAGCAGCTGGATCATTGTAACACTTAGACTAGCAAGATTAATCGGTTTTTTTTTGAATTATAGATAGGAATATAAAATCATCAATGGATGATCAATCATTTACTTGGGTAAACAGTATATTTCTCTATAAAGCAAGAGGTCATAAAGCTTTTGATAAAAAGAGACAATCTTCGGTATACTGCGACATTTGTACAAAATGTTGGTAGTTCATGCTGAAAGCAAAAATACGCAAGTTTGCAGCTGCCAATAAAGTATGAATGGGAGATGTGCCACAGCAATTACAAGGACTAACCATTCCTGAGCAAACACTTATTGCTCTCTACCAACATAACAGCTGCATTGTGAAATTATATTCGTCTTTTCATTCGACAAGCACAGCTCAATCAATTTTAAAAGGCAACTGCATAAGCTTTTCTCAAGATGTTATTAACATAGCTACTACCCTGCCATTAGAATTAGATGATCTATGTGATTCTCTAAAAATTATTTTTGTTAGTTGTCACACTCCACAAAGAAGTCAACTAAAAAATATTTTAGCTGTTCGAAAAACAAAAGTTTCTGATGCACTTAAATGACTTAGTCCAAACAATCTACTCCATCGATATGTTACAATTAATCAATCAACAATCAATAAATTGCTTGAGAATGATATCCTGGAGTGTTCCTGGGCAACAATGGAAATTTCCGCTAAGGTAGAAGCGGTTGAAAACCAAACGACAACTTATACTCTTAACCCTCTGATCAATGCATCTGAGTTCAACACTACAACAGCTATACCAATAATTGCGAGGTAAAACAAAAAGGCATTGATATTTGTATCTACCGTTGTTTGTGTTATAGTGTTGTCTTGCATATTAACGGTACCAAAATTTTGTCTGATGACGTTGTTGAACATCTTTTAGAATGAATAAAGGTACAAATGGGTGATAAAACGCTGAAAAAAGACATCAAGGAAAACGTTGAACAAGATACTATTTACATAATTCCTCGTGGTAACAAACCGATCAATGAATATTCTAATCCAAATCTTTTATTGGGTATCTTTCCCACATTTTTTCCGTATGGATGTGATGCACTTGAAGATTACTCTCGACCAGTCCAAATTAATTTTCGTGAGCATCTCAGATATCTTCTTTCGTACGGAAATCATCGTTTTGAAGAACACTACTCATTCATATTTGTTGTCTTCAATATTTTACAACGCTGAATCGCGTACTTCCATGCCCAATTAATGACGTCAAGGCTGTACTTTCAGCAATCCGCACAACTTCTTGAATTATTGAGTTCTGAAGATGTAACAACGGCCCTTGTCAACATCCCAAAAGTGCCTTATTCAGAAGTTATCGATGAAAGAATAAATACGCTCATGAAGCATATCAAAGTGGTTGGTGGTCATGTTATGGATTCAGTTCATTCACGGTCGCCTCTTCGTACGAAAATTTATTCTTTGTGTTTTAATCTCGATTTTACAACTCTCTTTCTACTAATCAATCCACCCGACATACATAGTCCAGTGGCACTTTATTTTGCAGGTGTTGATCTAAATCTTGACAAAGTTCTGCCAGAAGTGTTGAGCACAGGCTATGAACGTGCTCAAATTATCGCAACACATCCTGTTGCTACTGCAAAATTCTTTAACTGTTTAATAAAAAGCATCTTGAAAAGTCTTGTGCTCGGTAGTGTACTTGGTCCTACAAAAGCATATTTCGGCACTGTCGAGAATCAAGGCAGAGACTCGCTTCACTTTACACCTTCAAATTTGGCTCAATCATGAGTTTACACCAGCACAATTAAAAGAAAAGGTTCAAAACCAAGATTTTCGTGAAAATTTACTAAAATATTTAGAAGATGTTGTAAAAGAAGATTTAGATCCATTTCGAGGTAATACATTTAGCACCGTTCGAATTTGTGATTTGAAATATTTGCATTTGCCTATTTCACGAAATTTCATACCCTGAGAATACGTTATCGTTGCTTTAGCCTAGAGTTGAGCTTTCAACTAATTCTCAATAATCTAAAATGTGTTTAATTCGAATTGTAGATTCTTAGTAACCATAATAACTGCATTAGATCATTTGTACTTTTAAATTTGACCATTCTTTTTAAAGATGAAAGCGACAATCGAACCAGTACAGTAAGCGATAACAGTGCATTAATTCGTGAGTTTGTAGCTTTTAGTATATCCTTAATTTTGCTTTTGTCTTGATTTTAGAAGAAACTTGGCCGATAACGAATGGAGTTGTACCGGCTTGCCTACTAACATCAGATCCTGTGTTAGATGACTTCCATCGTATTTTTCGCAAAGATATAGTATGATTAGTCGAAACATGCAATATTCACGAGCATTCTGCAATGTGTTACAAATACTCGAAAGACAAGTCCAATAGTGCAAAAGCTTGTCGAATGCGTATGCCACGTGTACTCGTGAAGACTTCCAACATCGATCCTTCTATAGGTCAGATAACTATGCATCGATCACATCCGTGGATCGACAACTTCAATGAATGGCTCTTAAATGCTTGCCGATCCAAAATGGATATTAAATTCATCTGGAATGGTAACGACGGTAAAGCTTTAGGGTACACTGAAAACAAAAATGGTGTTAGACGAATCCTTTAGGATTTCGTGGAAGTTTAACGTATTCGAAAGGTTACCGTGCAGTTATACGAAATCTGTAAAAGGTTTAGTGATGTGCGTGGTTTTGTATAAAACCTTTACAAACTCTAAAAACTAAGAAACAATTTGGTATGAAACCATTTTTATACGTCTGAATCCCAAAAGTTTCGTATACAGCCCTTCATGAGTGTTAGACGTAAAGAAGGTTTTGTGTCAACCCTTAAATAATTATTGGATGTTCAAGACTGGTTTCGTATAAAACGCTTTAAGAGAGTTGGAGCTCAGAAGGGTTTCGTAAAAAACATTTTGAGCACGTTCGAGCAAAAAAAAAGGTTTTTTTTCGAACTCTTCATTAGTTTGAGAGTTTAAAAAGGTTTCGTATCACACTCTTCATAGAAGTTGAAGCTTAAACAGGTTTCGTATAAAGCCCTTTATTCTCTGTAGAACTTAAAAAGGTTTTGTATAAATCTATTTATACCTTTGGAACTTAAAAGGTTTCGTATGAAACTCTAACAGAGTCATTAATTTGAAAGGGTTTCTTTCAATACTCTTAGGGGTTCCGTTTAAAACTTTTATAGCTTCGTATTAAAACACTTTCGAGATACTGACTGTGGTAACAACATAGTCTGACATAACTAACAGAAGCGACCTCTTTTTGACATCATACATAAAGTGTTCTAATGAAGACCAATCGCATTACTGGCTGATGGTATAGTCGATCTGTGCTCAATGGATCCCATTAATAAATACCTAAGGTGATTTCTATAGTCTTCTTATTGCACGTACTGATTAATATTTTCTTATCGAAAAGTTTTACAATCCTTATAATCAACTCGCAAACTGTTTAAAAACTGTTGTTTGCTGTCGTATTTCAAGTAAGTTGTCTTTCTTTCTGAGATAATTACGCAAAAAATTTTGTTTTTTTTATCGAATTGTCTTTGATTTAGTTTTCATAAATCGTTGACAAGTTGATCTTGAATCTCATTTTGTTTGGATTTTGATCGTTCAGATAAAAATAAACTGGTGAAATTATACTAACTTTCACTCAATACGTAAGGGTATTTTTTTCTTGTCTTCATGTATTAATTTAGTTTTATTTTCTAGTGTTTATTTAAATCAATCATATTTTGCTACATAAACATATTATTAAACAATTGCAACTTTAAACAATATTATTATGGACCCTCGACATTGGAATTGTTCTCAAGTAATTCAATGGTTATCTTCTTTTAATAAAAATCAGCATGCTCTTGATGTTTTTACTAGTAAGTGATCATGATGTCTTCGAATAATTATTATTACTGCTCTCTATGCGCCCAAGCCAGGCCATACTATGTCTTTCGCGAATTATTTAGACATATACAGTATGTTCATATTGGACAACCAAATTTTAAAATTCGATGTGAACTTAGTCCATTATGTGGAAGAGTATATTCCACTTTTGCTGGATATAAAAGTCACATTTATAGAGAGCATAAAGACCTTGTTGATGAAGATTTATATAAACAAAGAATACAACCTAGTATAAACACTCATAATGATGGAACATTATTGTTGACAAATTATGATACACAATCAAATTGTGATACTCAAACGCATGATGAAGAAGAAGAACAAAATGAGACAGAGAGAGAGAAACAGATGATGAAGATGTCATATGTTGGCCATTACTAATGGAAAAGGTAAGTCGATCATCAGAAAAAAAAATAAATCTAGACTTCTTCGAAAATTTTTACGTAGATTTTTTGCTCAATCTTAGAGAAAGTCATTCTTTACAACAAAATATAATCCATACAATTACATCAGGATTTAAATCTTTGATAGAACTAATTCATGAATTATTGAAAATGAAAAATAGAAATTCATCGATCAAATATCAAAATACAGTTACTAATTCAGCTACAGATGACTCTATTTTATTAAGTGATATGAATGAAGTTATTTCAAATATTATATAAACTGTATATAAAAGACGTTTGATTTTTTTTGACCACTTTGAGTATCCATCGCTATAACAAAATAAAATAACTAATTGAGCAGTATCGTTTGTGTTTTCAAAAAAATGTGTAAATAAATAACAAATGCAGTACGTATTGAGAGTATAATGACATAATGTATTTTCCATTATTGAAAATGAAAAAAATACATCTATTGTAGAAATTCATGAAATTTCGACTTTATTTGACAGTCATCATCAGATGAACTACTAAATTAAATACCAACTAAGAACAAACAACTTGTATTAATTAATTTATTATATTTAATTTCTTTATTAATATTGCACTTATAAGAAACATTATAATATATAGTAATATCTAATACAGGTCATGTTGGATATATTATTGAAGTCTACTATGATATTAATGAAAATGGTTATGAATTTGTTGTAAGTGCGTAAGATTGTGCAACTTGTTTGTTCTTAGTTGGTATCTGATTTAGTAGTTCATCTGATGATGGTTTTCAAATAAAGTGGAAAATTCATGAATTTCTACAATAAGTCTTTTTTCTTTATTTTCAATAACAAAAAATACGTTATACCGTTACACTCTCAACTCTTACAACATCTGCT